CAAAAGATACTTGCATTAAAGCAACCTTAAAGAGCACCTGCAAGACTTGTAAAAATTTCACGTTTTCTGAACCTTAGGGGGATTTACTTTCCACTTAGTGTTGTAATTAACAGAACTGAAACAAACGTGGATATTGTACATATGGATCATTAATCTAAGCAGGCCCAGCCCGATAATGATTTTTAAAATCTGTTAGCCTGCCATTTCTTCATTTCTTTGGCATAGAGATTTAAGAACTGACCTTGAAGCAAATTTGAAATTCTTCCAAAAAATAGTCATCAAAATGAAAAAAAAATCCTTTAAAAGCCAAGATATGTTAACATTTAAATAAACAGTATTAACATAGCAGGAAAAGCATTTTTAACAAACAGCGGACCTACAGCAATAGCTTCACCAAAAATCAGAGCGCATTTTTTGTTGTCATTGCTGTTTAAAAAGCATACTACCAAGACTCAAGATTTTTGGATACTTATTTCCATTTCACAGGCAGGAAAAGGCACAGCAAAAGGAAGAGCAGATTGCCTAATGCTACGCAGCATCTCTGGCAGCAGCAATAAAAAAAAAAAAGCAACGCTCTTAAGACCTTCTCAGGTGTTTAGGTCATTAACTTCCCAACGCCTACTCAGCAGCACTGTTTAAAAGTATTAGCTAACACCTAAGAAAGATATATTTAATTTTATTGATGTATTAAAGAATTGTCAAGCTAAGTAGTATACCGAAAGTGTAAAACACAAAATTATACAACACACTAAAAGTTGTGAAACACAAAAACTTTGAACATATTTATGAAATGGGTTGTAACTTCTAAATTAAGACATAGCCATTCAAAGGAAAAAGGAAAAAAAGGAAAAACAAACAAAAAATAGAAAAACACACCAGCTCACTAGTCCTCGTTGAAGAAATTATAATTACAAAAGATAAATCTCTTCACTCCCTAGCAAATTTTGGCAAAGGAAAGGTTAAGAGTCAAAACAAAACCGATGTACCTTACACAGAATTTGAGATATATTGGTCCAAGACTACCGAACACTAAAAAACTCTTGTCCCAAGTCATGCTGTGTGCCAATACTTACATCCTAAAGTATACACAAGGAAAAGTCCTTCTAAGAGTACGACTACAGGAACATGGAATGCATCATTCCTCCTGAAAAGGAATCATGAGTAAGGAGGTATGAGACCAGCACTTTACACTCATTGGTAACTGCTGAAATACAAGGACAGTGTAGCATTTAAAGCAAACACTGCCTGGTCAGAGGGAGTGAGGTTCCTGTACCCTACACTGCAGCTATCAAATACTGAGACCACTGGCATTTCTTTTGCCCAATTTGGACATCAGATTCTCACAAAATAAACTACCCTTCATCTTCTCACCCAGGAAAACAGTAGACTGAATTCTTCCCAAAGACATAGATTGGGTAAAATAATTTATCACAACTGTCTTGCCTGCCTTGTAAAACCTAAAGTTCTCCATCAGACGGTCTGCCAGTTTCTAGAAACTCACTAAACTGTGTCTTCTAGAGGGGATTACTTTCTCATAAACCCTTCTGTATTCTGAGCTTCTTTAGACACTAGCAAAAATGAATGTGTTTAGGAGCAAAATTCTTGTTAGACCTGGCACTAGCATTCCCAACACTGGAACTGCCCAGGGCCAAATGCAGTGACCACAGAAGAGAACATCAAACCGCTTTTGTATTCTTTATCACACTTGCTGTAAGATAGGAACTCTCTTTTTCATTGTGATTTTTATGTGGGAAACAAAGCTGCATTTTAGGGCTGTTTATCACAGAAGAAAGACTTTATGCTTATTTGGTTCCATTCTCTCTTTCAGCAAGACATCATATATGCCATCTTTCTTCAGCAGAAGAGAAGCAACTGAGTCGAAAACAAGAGCTGAAGACCAAGCATGAAAAACTGTGACCCTACCTACAGGACTACCATTGAAATACTTTGGGACAAGTAAGGAGTACTAGGCATCTCATCATCAGAAGAGAGCCATCTTGGAGCCTCAAAATATTTACAAGATAGAATTTTTGTCCTCCTCTAGACGGTACAGTAGTTTATTGAATATAGGCCACATTTACAATTTCATTTGAAATTCAGCTGGGCAGCTCTCAAAATAGGATAGTCAGGACACAAGTTAGAGTTCTTCAAAGGATTGTGAATTCATTTTTAACATCCAGGCCTTGACTTACTCTGTGCTACCAGCTATTCCTGACATTATCAAACCGAAAGGAAAATAATCACAATTATGGAAGACTGTCAGTTGCAATATTTAATTAAAACCTTTGCCTTTGACATTTCAGCAAAGTTCAGTATTTGCATGGATGTGAAAGCGCAAAAGATGTAAAGCTGTTGTAGGAGCTGTGTTCCCATAAAAACCTGTCACAGGGATTAAATTAGGTCAAAAGGTCACTACAAAATGGCTTTGTACTAATTGCACAGAATTCTTTAAAAAGAGGAGGTACACAAGTCATTAAAATATTCCACGTTCCATAGGAGATACATTTCTTAGCACTGAATTGTTTCATGTTACTACTTGCATATTCTCATTTTCAAGCACAGAAAGAGCCTAGCTCTTCCCCACGTGTCAGATCCTTCCAGATGTTAGAGAGCCCCTGATAATTTTCCTCTTACCTGGCCGTGTACAAATGCCTCAGCTGTCAACCTTTAGCCCTCAGTGCCATGACTCACAGTTAACTGAAGCTTTAACCTCCCTCAAATTCACATTCCAAAAAGATCCTCAACTCAACTGTTACAAGAAGTTGCTAAAACAATCTTGCAAACAACCAATCAACTCCGTATGCCTATATGTTACAGTATATAGAAAGCATCCCCTTCCTCCCCCGTGAACACTGCAAGATTAAAAATAGCTCCTTTTGAAAGGGTCAAGCAAGATCCTAGGAATAGAGATCTATTAACCTTGGTATAGTTCCAGAAACCTGACACACTCCTCTAATTACATTTTCTAACATTTTAGATAATTACGAACTTGATAAAAATCAGTCCAGCATCTGCTTCCTGTAAAAGAACATTGTGCTTCTCTAAACAGTTGCTCTTTTTTTTTTCTTTTTAATTAGTTTAAAAGATAAAGGTGGCTCGAGAGATAAAGGTCCTTCATCACCAAAAAAAAAAAAAAAAAGAAAGAAAGAAAGAAAAAGAAACAAAGATTAAAGAAAGTAACAAAATAATCAAAGCCTGTGTTTTCTAAGGCATTGGCATCTAATCACAAACAAGCATTATAGAGCATTTCCCAAAGGCAAAAAATGTCATGACATCCAATAAATAAGAAGAAATTAGCTGGAGGCTCACCTCCCTAGAATTCTGGGTGGTTTTTTGTTGTCTTTTCAAGTTACAAGGAAAAAGTACTTTTCAACAGAGAAGGCACTCCGTATGAAAGCCTAGAAGACCTACCTAAAAGCTTGTGATATAATGTGAATATAGTAATGGATAAAATAAGAGAAAGAGAGAAGGTATTTAACCAAGGGACAACGATGATTTTAAAAATAAGGTAATATAGATCAGCCAAAAGTAAGTTTAGGACGGATGTCTAGGGTGAAGTATTTAATCACCTGACGTTAAGAGTATAAGTTTACTTACTAATTCATATGTCCTTGCAGTTTAGTCATTGCATTAAGAATGCCAGCACAGAACTTGGTTCTTTTCTTTCTTCTGCTCTTACATGTTGCTGGGAAAATTAGATGAAGATTCTTCATAGCTAGGACTTATCCATGCATTTCTGCATGCTCTGTCAGAGATCTAAAGCCAGATGTGCAGAAATGGCAAGCGTTTACATCTCCAACTACAAGAAACTTGATCTTTTAGTATACATAATAAGGCACTACAAGCATATTATACACTCTAAAATCCCAAGGTTCCTAAGCTGGACACACAGACCTATTATATTCCACAATTTTTTCCTTCTCTCCACCTGTAACACTACGAATGTTCTTCACAAGTCCTGATTCAGAAAAAAAAGAATGATTTGGTACGCTACGGAGATTACACATCTCTGAACGCAGAAGACACAAATATTGAAGCTTATCTTCCTGCTG